TGTACTTGGTGATGTATCTCGGGTATATTGATACTTGAAATACGACATTACCCCCCACCAGGTTGGGACAACCGTTGAAGAATGAAAGGTGTGTATAGACGCTATGGATAGTGGATCAGAAAAACCCGTGAAAAAACCCTGTGGGAAAAAATTGGGAAAAGATCCACCGAGCGTAGGATGTGTCAAGGTATTGCCTTATTTCTTGTTGCGTTTGGATCGACGTTGGCCTGTGCTTTGACCGCGTGCCTTACGTTTGTGTGACGTAGCACGTTTGGTGTTGTGAGCATTATTGGTTTGCTTCTCACCACGTCGTTTCCAGTATTGCTGGATGAAATCGGGATCAGTGAAATCCTCTGGTAGTTGCCATGTATCATCTTCAGGGGTATAGCCCTTCCATCGTACCAAATACTCACGGTGACCTTCATCACCTCGATGATCGATGATAGCTTGGACTTCATATAGGTCGTCGGTTGATACAACATCCTTAACAGAAATCAACTTGAGTTCAGAAGGGGCATAATCACGTGGCATTAAAGCACCGGTTTCATCTTGTAAGATGTATGAGCCACCTTCGGTTTTGCGTAAGACGGTGTATGGACCTTCGTATACAGGTGCAAGTTTGCTACCACGTGTATGCACTTTAGCCATGACGTGACTTTGCTCGGGGAAACTCGTGAGCTGGTGCGTGGAATCAAATTGCTCCTTTTGATTTCTTACGTACGCGTCCGTTCTTTCTTTCAAAGCTGGAAACACAACTTTCTGCATGTGCTCGAGTCGATTGACGAGTTCTTCGTACGACATGGGAGTAGCAGGTGTCGATGTATCTTTGCGATAGTCACGGAATGCGTTCACGTTACGAGTGTACATGAGCGAGAAAGGCGACGATTGCAAGCGTTTCGATATACGCATGTTCAGCTGCAACTGTGTGAGAGGTACGTGGTAGTCCCAATCACGGCTAGCACCTTCAAGCTTCTTCTTAATGACCTGTACGGCCGATTGTACCCAGCGTTCAGCTGTAGCGTTTGCTCGTGGATGGTATGGTGTGGTGAGCCTGTGGTTGATACCCAAGCTATTCACAAGCTTCTTCATGAGGGAGTTCTTGAATTCGGTTCCATTATCAGATTGGATGACTCGTGGTATTCCGAAATCGCAAAAGATTTGTTTCATTGTTCTCACAAGTGTATCAGCAGATTTATCAGGTATGGCTCTGAGAATACAAAAGCGAGTGCATACGTCGACCATTACTAACATGAAGTTATTGCCAGAGGTTGATGTATCAAACGTGGCAAGATCGATCGCCCAGTGGTCTCCTGGTATGTATGAATAAATGGGTCGCAAGGGATGGAAGCCTTTTTTCGCGATGTTGAACTTTTGGCAACTAGGGCATGACTTTACGAGTTCTACCGCATCTTGCAAAATGGTGTTCCAGTGCATTCCTTTTGTGTGTTGAAGGTATCTCACTATATGCTCAGCTCCAGCATGGCCGATTTCGTGGTGTGCATCTTCCAATTCTTTGGGACGATCCTCTTCGGGAGGTGTCAAGACATCGGTTGGTACTTTGTATGTCGGCATTTTGAAGGGGCTTTTGCGGGAAACACGCTTACCACCAACACGTAGTGCAGTGATACGACGATTCTTACCCCCTCCAGCTTGTCACTTGGGGTGAACAAGCGTGAAAGGTGGTCAGGCAGGACATTTTTGAGTCCAGGTAAGTGGACCACGTTAAACGTGTATTTGAGTAGGGTATCGAGCCAGTTTATCATCATGGCGTTAGCTACCTTTTGTGTATGTAGATAGCATAGAGCACGATGATCGGTATATAAAGTGAATGGGTTACCCCACAAATATTGATGGAATTTACGCAATGCGAACATGACAGCTAGCAATTCACGCTTGGTAGCGGAATAGTTGCGTTCAGAGGGTGAGAGTGCATGAGCCACGAAGGAGATGTAGCGCTCTTTGCCATCAATGCGTTGAAACAAGGTAGCGCCAATGCCATAGTTGGAGGCATCTGTGGCCACAAAGAAAGGTTGCGAAAGATCAGGTTATTCTAAGAGCACGTCAGCTTCTAAAGCGCGTTTAAGCTTATGAAAGCATTGTAGGTGTTCATCGTTCCAGATATCTTGCAACGAGTCGAGATTGCGAAGTTGATCCAAGGGTGCTCGTATAGCTGCTACATTGGGTATGTGTTCCTGAAAGTAGGTGACGATCCCAAGGAAACGTTGGATGTCTTTGCCAGTTTTGGGTATGGGCCATTCCAGCACATTGGTAAGTTTGCGTTTGTCGAGGGAGATGCCCTTATGACTGATAGCAAAGCCAAGAAGGTATATATGGGTTTGTGCCATGTGACATTTGGCAGGGTTAAGGATAAGATTGGCATCTGTCAACGCTTGTATGGCTTGTTTGACATGTTGCGTGTGTGTGTGCATGTCTGGTGAGTGAATGACAATGTCGTCAACGAATGTTTGTACGAATGGCATATTCCCAAAGATGCGATGCATGACACGTTGAAATTTGGAGGATATAGGTTTGAGGCCGAATGGGCAGCCTTGGAACATGTATTGACGGCCATTGTGAGTGAAGGTCGTTTTATGTTGATCCTCTGCTTTGATCTTGAAACGATGGAATGCATTCGTCAAATCAAGTGTGGTGAAGACTTTTGATCCACTTAGAGCCTCGAAGATGTCACGAATCAATGGCAGCGGATATTTGTCATCAGGTAGGTAGCGGTTGATATGGCGTGGATCAAGACATGGTCTCATTCCTGTTTTGTTGCCCTGTGCATCCTTTTTAGGTGCTAAGGTGAGAGGGCTGTTCCATGCATTGTTCACAGGTGCTCTAATAATGACACCATCTTCCAACCATTTCTTTACAGCAGCATCGACAGCAGGTCTTAGGCTGAATGGTATGGGATATTGACGATGATAGGAAGAATGAACGCCTGGAGTAGGGAGTTCTATCACTGATTCTTCCAAATTGCAGTATGATGCTTTAGGGATACGTGCATTGGCTTCCATGAAGGGTTTGATTTGGCGCTCAAAGTCGTGTCGCTCGTTAGGTGTGCCTGCTGGGGAATTGTTAGGCTCATTATGCTTTTGTTCAACCATATCCAAAGTGGATGGCGAATCTGAAGTCGAGTCATCATCATCCCATTTAAAGGCTAGTCCTGTGAGGGCGACACCGATTAGTGGCATTAGGTCTTTGCCTATGATCACATCATCGTGTGCGAGGTTCATAACCTCAAAACTAAAAAGTGGTTTATGACCATTGTAGCTAATTTGTAAAGGTGATGTGGTGCCAATTCTAGGACGGGCATCTCCACTACCGGCATACCAAATATTCCCATCCACATGATTAATAGACCAATTGTTTTCATCACATAATCTTTTATTCAAAACAGAAATCTCTGCGCCTGAATCCATGAGTGCCAAGCAACGCTTATTCTGTATAAGGATGGGTGAACGTATTAGCGTTTCTGATTTGGATTGTTTTTGGGTATTGCCCAATTGCTTACCGGTTGCAAGCTGATCGAAGTCAGCCATGTCTTCATCAAAGTCGAGTAGAGCTTCATCAGCTGGATGATCGGAACTTGATTCTTGAGGTGACGTGATACTGGGGCTTGAGGTAGACAAAGCGTTGATACGCTTATTGTGGGCACGTTGCTCCCTTTTCTTCCTATGTGCCTCACGATACTCCTCGCAACGATGTTCCTTGGTCCAGTCATCGCCACAGTGAACACATTTGCCAAGCTTGAAAGGATCAGTAGTAGAGTCTTGTGCCTTCGATTGAGCCTTCTTCTTTTTGCAGTCTTCCGGCTTATGTTCAACTTGACGTTTGTGATATGGGCACCAATACGTATCCTTGGAAGAAGATGATTTCCCACGACGTGAAGATCGTTCACTTTGTTCGTCAGCAGGACGATACCTCTTCTTGACAGAGATCTGGTCGGCCACAGAAAGGATTTCATCGAGGTTGTCAGGCTTGCGCTTCTTGTGACGAGAATGCCATACGATACGAACGTTGTCTTGGATATGGTCTGGTAAGGATGCTAGGAAACGCATTGCTAATCCTTGATCGTTTTGCAGGTTTCCTTCACGTGCGGCATTATGGAAGCGATCACCATAATCAGAGATGGATTCACCAGACTTCATGGTCATTGTATAGACTTCAGTAGCCTTCGCCAACTCTGTATCAGTAGCCTTGAAGCGTTTGCGTACCACCTTGCAGACCTTGTGCCAGCTATAGTTGCGACCTTCCAACTTGCTCTCGTACCAGTAGTCCAGATGATAGGGAAACGCAATAGGCAGCCACTTCGCCCATTGTTGACTAATAGGGCTATTGGTGTTGACCTCGACGATTTTCTTGAAATGAGAAAGGAAGTGCTCCACGCTTTCAAACACGGTGTGCTTCGGGTCCTTGAAAGATGAAGTAGTCAACTGGAAACGGGGAACATCCTTTGCCGTCATGCGATCAGTGGTCTTGGATTCAAGGGTGTTGGATGAAGCGATGGTATTGCCATTACTGGTGCTTGATCCATAGGTCTTGTCACATGTCTCCTTGAATTGCTCCAATGTTTTTCTTGTGTAGGTAATGTCCGTGTGCAGCTTCTTGAGGGTTTCAGGGGATGCATCTCTCTTCAGAGCCATGTTGTATTGCGAAACCAGCTTGTCGAGCTTGGCCTGGTAGTGGTCCACAATTTCTTGAGCATCCTTCTTGGGGTCCTTGTCTTGCTGCTTGCCCTCTTGGTGTCCATGCTGGAGCTTTTTGTCCTTATGGGACTTTCGGCTATGTGCATGACTTGTATCCTTTGCCTTTGAAGAGGTGCTTCTTTCGGTATCAGATGTTTCCGGAGATGTTCCTTCCCTTTCCTTGCGGTTACTTGTAGTTGCTCGAGATTGGGATGGAATGCTTGCGCCATCTTGGTCCATAGGAGTAGGGTCAGTCGAATTGGATTCGCTTGACATGTCGTAGGTGATGATAATTCAACGTAAAAAATGAGATATTACGTATAAAAGAAGATGATAGAGAAAGTGAAAGTACGT